GATACCGTTGATCTTTCCTGGCTTGCACGGTTCTCGCCTACTACACGGGAGTACATCACCTTCGTTGAGGAGTGTGTCTTCGCGAAGAAGCACGACCGAAAGTTGAAGTGTGCACTGTCTGCTGGCGCGAAGCCAGTAGATCTGCCAGACCGTGAAGAGTTCTCCGTGGACTTCAAAGCATTCAAGGCCGGCTGGCAAAAGGAGCGTGGGGACGCCCCTGAGCCGAAGCATGAGCTTTCGGAGGCATTGACGGGGACGGAGGAGAGTATCCAGGTGGGCCAGATCATTCAAGCTTCCATGATGGGGGGCCGGCTGAATGCTTGGCAGACTAAGGACCTGGCCAAAGCCCAGCACGACCAGGCCCTGCTTGCCAAGCATCTGAAGAGCTTGAGCGAAGACGAGATTGGATTGATCAAGGACTTGGAGACCAAGGCCTCACGTATAGTGAGGGCTGCGGTGAAGATCATCGTGGAGCCTGAGCGCCAAGCTGTTCTGCAGGAGGAGCTGAAGTCGTCCCCCATTGGGTCCCGGGTGGCCTCCAAAGACTTCCTGACTCTGGTCCTGTACGATCAGAAGACAGCGGGTGAGAGCATCACATGCCCGCATCTCAGAGTGCCGCCGCTGAAGGTGGAGAGGGTCAAAACCGCAATCCAGGCCACGTGCAACTTTCTCAGCTCTGGTGCTGAGCTGCCTTTCAACGCGATGTTCGCCATCACGGATGCCGGCAAGACCGGCAACGAACGAGCAATTCTCAATTGCTTCGTCAATGAGGCTGGTGCATCGATGGCAAAACACCATAAAAGCCTCTATGTTGCCTACAAAGAAAGCGATTTGGCAGCTCGCTTGGAGAAGTTCAAGTCAACGGCTCAGCTGAATCAGCTGGAAACAGTGCACATCGTCACGTCTTCTGCGGCCTCGAAGCAGAAGAGACGCCCTCGCCGAGCTGGGCACCTGAAGGGTGAGACCAGCTCAGGCAACATCCTCACTGGGGTACCGTTGCCGGATGTGAGTGCTGCGTGGTCTGAGTCGGTGGTGACCAAGAAGGCCATCTTCGGGAATCAGATGAGGATTGCAGTGGGAGGGCAGACGGACGGAGAGCCGCTGTACAACAAGGACGATGACCAGGAGCCCGTGTTCTGGCATATGAGTTCCCCTGTGCTGCTCGAGGAGCTTCTTCGAAGCGAGTGCTGGGCTGATGCCCTGCTGGACTGGACACCCACAGATGTCGCAGCCAAGAAGGCCATGGATTTGGGCATTCCGTACGTTGCCGTAGCCTACACGGAAACCCACAAGGAGCTGCTCATGAAAAGATTGGCCACGATGGTTGCTAAGGACATGCTGACGGAAGGCCACAGTCTCTACTGCGCGGAGGTTGCCAAGATTCTGGAGGTGCCTGGCATGGCCAGAAAACCCTTGCCGAAGGCAAAGGCTGCGGCTGCAACGACACCGCCGAATCCATCCCCGGCCGTGACTGTGGAGGAGTCATCGACTAATAAGAGAAAAGCAACTGCTGAGCCAGAGTCGGCAGACGGTGACAAGAAGGATGCTACCCACGCCAAGCTCAGGGCACGGCTGCAGGAGCTGTCCGGTAAGAAGTGAACACGTTTTCCTCATGCAGCAGAAGCAATTTTGCACGCGACTGTTAGGTTCACACAGTCAGTCTCGTGGCGCCTGCTGACATGCACTTTTGTTCACAAGCTTGGTTTTGCAGAGGGCCAAGGATGCCATTTCAGATGCGTTGCAGAGCAACAGACAAGGAGAGCTTGCAGATGAAAGACAAGTGCATGCAGCGCCTGCGACAGGTCCAGAGAGTGCTTTCGCTTCCATCATAGTTAAACCAGCCGGTGCCAAGCTAGTTGCGTGTTTCATTCCTAGTTGAGTTGGCTGCAGCCTGTGTCGTCATGGCATGGCGTCATCATGCCAGCTGTTGATGTTGCTCTGCAGTGTTTGACTTCACTAGGCGGTCGAGATGTATCTTAACTCCCGCCATGGACGATGAAGACCAGGTGATGGCCTTTATGCCTCGCAAGAGGCATCGGGCCTTGACAAGAGTTGGATCCAATGACTCTGGCACAAGGCAGCCGAGGAGTCGCTGTGTCAATGGCCGCGATAATCTGGAAGGGACGAATGACTCCTTGCTGCCTTTGCCGCAGAAGGCCTTCCAGCACTGTGGAAAGCCAGGGCTGTTAGTTGGGTCAGCTTGCTCGGGGTGGTCATGCGAATCCCAGGCACTTACCAACTTAGAGGTGCCACACACAATTTCCTTCCTCTGTGACAGTGACCGTCATGTGGAGAAATGGCTGCGCCACAATGTCGTTTTCGAGCGGTTTCATCGAGATGTGTTCCATGATGCCTTCATGAACGAGCAGAAGGTAGATATTTTTGCGGCAGGCCCTCCTTGTCAACCATTTTCTCCGGAGGGTGCAAATGCAGGAGATGATGATTCCAGAGCCCATGTTATCCAGCCGATCAAGACCTACATCTGTCAAGCTCAGCCTAGGGCCTTCATACTGGAGAACGTGGCTTCGTGGAGCAATTCGGATATTTTCAGGCAGACCATGGATGATCTGGGCGGTCTGAAAAATGAGGATGGGTTGCCGGTGTACAATATATACCGCAAAGTCCTGCAGACGTGTCATTATGGAGTGGCCCAGAACCGCAGCAGGCTCTACGTCGTCGGCCTCCTCGCCGACGAAGACAAAGGCTTCAAGTTCCCGGAGGCGTTCAATCAGAAGCCAGACATTGCAGATCTTTTGGATTCGAGAGAGCTGCCTCGACCGATCAAGGACATTTCAGAGATTAGCCCTGAACTTGCGAACTCGACTTCCAAGACACGACAAAAGTGCCTGGGCGCAGTCCTCAGCCACTTCGAGAAAACGGGTGAGTGCCCTTGGACATCCCACATCATCGTGGACACCCAGCATGGGCGGAGTGATGCACGCTTTTACAAAGATTGCTTTCCAACTCTTACGGCCGCTCGTTGCCAACAGCGAGCCTATTTCAATTTGAGGTTGAACCGCTATCATACCATGTCTGAGCTTTTCCGTGCACAAGGTGCAGACCCGGAGGGTATGGACATGACTTGCATTTCGCCACACCAGCTGGGGCACCTGGCTGGAAATGCCATGAGTGTTAATGTGATGACTCACCTTTTGGGCTCCATTATGCTGAGCTGGTAGAAGGCTTGCAAAGATTCAGCTGAGGTGGCATGACCCACACTGATGCAGTGGATCAGTTGGAAAACGGCACCCTCTCTGTGAGCCGGCTTCGAGTGTTTTACAAGGGGGGGTAATTTACCCCCCTCGGTAAAACACTCGGGGGCGCTCCCGAGTGTTTTACCAGGGAGGGTAAATTACAGATGCTGCGCCCCTGAGAGTTTGTAAGCTTACAAAGTCCCCGCCCCGGGGGAGTTGTAGATTACCCCCCACCGTAAAACACTCGGGAGCGCCCCCGAGTGTTTTACGGAGGGGGGTAAATTACCCCCCCTTGTAAAACAGTCGACCCTGAACCACAGGTTGGGGTGAGTGTGCTGGCAGCTGGAACTTGAAACATGCCTGGTCATGCATCGACACCACCATATTTTTCTCTCTCTGACAGACACTCTCTCTGTCTCATTTTTCGCAAATTTGATCTCTCTCTCTCTCTCTCTCTCTCTCTCTCTCTCTCTCTCTCTCTCTCTCTCTCTCTCTCTCTCTCTCTCTCTCTCTCTCTCTCTCTCTCTGTCTTTTTCTGTCTCTCGAGTCTTGTGAGTGCAGGTTGCACATCTGCACCGAGAGGGTGCGCAGGATTTGCATGACAGGCACTGACTGGGAGAGTCAGCACTTGACATGAGATAGCTCTTATCCACATCCACTGTTCAGAGCACATGCATGTTTCTCTTGTTTGCTGCAGGAGATTGCAGAATTTGAAGTGGAGCCGAGCAGGCACGTGCGGGATCCTGTGGGGCTTTAACTTAATCTTACTTGCAAATGTATTGTGTACAAAGTATAATAATAGTTGTCCCAACATTCCAAATCATAGTCACGAAATGCACTGAGAGAGTGCAGACGCCGGCACTGAGAGAGTGCCGGCAGTTGAATGTTCAATTCATCTGCACAGACGGCACTGAGAGAGTGCCAACAGAGGCATTACATTGGGAGAGTGCCAGCACAAAATTCGCATTCACAGCAGCGTGAGACAGCTCTTATCCAAACCCATGTGTCGAGGCACTTGTCTGTTTTTGTTTTGGTGCAGGAGATTGCCGACGGACGTGGAAGTGGCCGAGCAGGCACCTGGGTTTCCGAAGGAATCCCTGTAATAATCGAACCGCATTTCTCTCGAATCTCAGACGTCTTGCTGAAAAGACTTCTTTTAATCTCTGTTGGATGCCAATGCGAGAGGACGGGTTAAACTGTGCGGCGCCGAGAGGGTGCAAATCGTCTGTACGATGCATTCAATAAAAACAGACCAGCGGTATTGACGAGCGTCAGCAACTGAATGCAGCAGTATGTGCCCTATCCTATTATTTCCATCTTGTTTTGTGGTGCAGGAAGATTGCACATGCCCCTGGAGCCGACCAGGCCCATGCGTTTCCTAGGGAATCCTTTGGGGTGTTAGTTGTAATTAAAGGAAAGTATTGAAGGAGCTACAGCCGATGTCCCAGGATTCGTTTACCCCTTCCGGCCCCTCTCCCACCACAATGACATGCTGTTTCCCCCACACGTTCCCCAACCCTAGAAGCCCCAAATGGCGGTACAGCCCTTGATCCCCATCCCCCATAGATCACTGCAATGCCCATCGATCGGGAGATTCTTCGGGAAGCGGAAACATTTCTTCATTATGGAACTGAAACATGGTGCTCAAGGTCCAACTGGGCGTGTGTATGCTAGGAGCCAATTTTGTTGTTTGCAAGTGGAATATCTTAGCAGTTGACATGGACGAGACTTTCCATAATAAAGTAGTACCACAGATCTTCGAGTGAGGTGTAGAAAGAAGGTCATGAGCTGTTTTTAGAGTGCACAATGGATGATGATGATGAGTGGTGCCTGCCAGTGGCAAGTGCTGTGTCACAGCCACCAGTGGCAAGTGCTGTGTCACAGCCACCGTCACTGCCACGTGGCAACAGTGCTGCAGCCTTGGAGAGTCCGTGTGAAAAGGACTGCTTGACTCAGGAAGAATTTTGCAGACTGAAATTGAAGTGGGAGGGGAAATTGTTCATCGACCCTTCCCAGACCAGTTTGGGCACCTGGCTCTCAGGCAGAATGCAGAATGGGCGCTTTCTCGTGTTTTGTTCGGTATGCGCCAGGCTGAAGGATTCGAAGGATGGCAGTAGCAGAAGCACCGCCTGGGCCACCGGTTTTCAGCCTACCGTCAGAAGCTTTCACTTGACTCATGTGCAGCGACACAGCTCCACGTGTAAGGTGCACAAACAGGCTGTGAAAGATTATTTAAAGGCCTTGGGTTTGCAGAGTGAAGGACCTGAAGACGAAAGCTGTTTTTTGAACCGTGAGCAGTTTCATGCTGCCGTGCAGAAGACATGGGACGGCTGCAGAAAGGGTCATTCTTTTCGAAGCCTGGCAGATGATGACGTGGGTTCAAAGTCACGTGCTGGTCGACTTGTTGAGGTCATGGGATGCGCATGCCTTGCAGAGGAACAAGAATTTCTCCGGGATTCTGATGTTCTGGCTTTATACCAAGACGTCCGGGCTGGCATGTTGTGCATCCGATACTCTGCAGTTTCGCTAGACTCACAGCTTTGTCGTCACGGTGTGCTCGGCATTTGTCATAATGCTGGCACAAAAAGCTTGGATCTCGTCGAAGCGATGGACAAAGTGATTGGCAGCTTTTGTACGCTAGATTGTGATTCTGGTGACATGGATCATGAGCTTCGACAGCACATATGCGAGCATGCTGAATTTTTGCAGGCTGATGGTGCAAGTGATGAACAGCTCACAATGCGATTTGCGGAGCAAGACTTGCTGACGAATGTGCGACTGCTTGACAGGGATCCAACGCATGCAGCACGCCGATTGCTTCGAAACGCATGGCGGGCGGACCCTTATTTGGAATCAGTCTTAGACCAATACATCACGTCACCGGAATCTATGACGGCACTGATCCAATACTCCGCAGACCTGAAACATTTGTTCGAAGTTGCTGTGCTGAGCGATGACAACGCTCCATTTTCAGTCCGAAACCTCGGATGGGCGGCACACCGATTCGATTCCATGACGCGGCCTCTCTCGCGCTTTATCGTACTATTCGATTCTGTCTGGGCATGCGGGATCGATGTGTGGAACAAGCGAAAGGGAACTCGCCCTGGCGAGAGGGCACATTCCTTCTTGTCCGAAAGCAGCGCAGAGTCTTTGCTACAGCTGGCGATGTTAGCAGACGGGTCAGCCGAGACCCTTGACCTAGTGCGATTCTTCGACAGGGAGACTTTCGACTCCGCTTCCGTGGCCGAAA